ACTTTAAGGGCATTTAAATGGTCATTGGATAAACATATGGATGATAACGGAATAGTTTAGGTTAGATGGGCTTCAGATTGGTTTCACAGGTCGGCGCAACATCGAGGGCCGAAGGGCCTGTACTGCGCTGTAATGTTCTATGTTCTATGTTCTAAAACGGTCAATTGATGAGCAATCAAAAATAAATTATGAGACAATGTAACAAATACATTCAGAGAAGGAATCAAAGAAAGACCAAAGAGTTTATTTTTTAAGAGGGGTTGGCCTTAAAGAGGTAAAGGAGTTAGAAGGATTTCCTGAATCTTAGGCAATGCCAGGGCAGTTGAAATCAATGGCAGGGCAAGGCAAGAGGCTGCACAAGATGGGAAAGCAAGAAGGACAAAGAATTTGGGCATGACTGGGTCTGAGAGGATTATAATGCTAGAAGAAGCTGCAGAGATAGGGAATGACAAGCCATGCGGGATATAAGGCATAAAGATTAAAGTTTAAATTTGAGATGCTAAGGTACCTTAGCTCAGTTGGCTGGTTTGCAATGCAGCGTGATGCCAAAAGTGGGTTCAATTCCTGCACTGGCTAAGGTTACCACAAAAGACTCGCCTTCTCAAATTCTCCTCTTGCCTGAGTCCTGGTGACCCTCAAGTTAAACCACCACTGACTGTCTTTCTCTAATGAGAGAGCAGTCTTATGGTTTGGTAGGACTTTGGTGACTTTCGCCAACTCAGGATTGCGGGTTAACACGACTTGATATAGGACAGGGAATACGCTCAAACCTCTTTGAAAATGAATAGCAAAACGTTCTGCAACATTGAAATTTTATTTTGCTTTCATGAAGTCAGAAACTTTATCAATACTTTGATGTGATTTTCATCTTTTTGAAACAATAAAATTCAATCACAAACAAGGAAACTTAGAAAAAATGTGCTGAAGATGAAAATCTTTGTGGTTCTCCTGATGGATTAATACAGATTGGAGATGGCAGGGATTGTACTTTAAATCCAATTTATGACTGAGCCAAGAGAGAGGTGCTGCTTATTTAGTTCAGAAATCCATTCAAAGATAGGGAACTAGAGTGATAATTGTGAGACTCTGCATCTGGGAAGAGACACACTGGTTAGAAGTCAGGGACTAAAATGAAGCAGAACTGGGCACAGTATTACAGCTAAAATTCTGATTCAAGTTCACTTCTAATGAAGTAATTCACTAAGGCTGGACAAAGTACAGTAGCAGGATAATTAATTTACAAATTCAATCCAGCTTTGTGACTGATACAGATTGCGAACATGAGCATAAATCAGTAGAGTTGATTGGCCTGTTTCTGTGCTGTAAAATCTATGTCGTTCTAAATGTATTCTACAAACGAAAATGGAGATTGAAAATGCTTCCAGTTTCACCTTTTCAAACTCCAGTCAGATTAACATCCAATGGATGTTACACATGAATGGAAAAAAAATTAAAGGATCACATGAGGAGTGTTCCTGGCCTGAAACTAATAAGGTTCAAAGAATGAAATTAAAATATTCATCTGCACAATTGTCTATTGAGCACAGTGCATAAATGGTGTTGAAAACTTGAATGGTATTGTAATGTATTCAGTCCTTCCATGTGCAGCCACTTCACTTGCTGCACAAGCACAATGTAAAAGAAGCTGGAGTAGGGGTGATGCACAGTACGCACATAAATTACTAGGATTTGGCCACAAGTTCTACACACTATGAGCCAATTTTCTTCTTCCTTGCTGAAGCTAATTTACTCGCAAAAGTTGCTGCACTGCAAATAATTGAAATCTGCTTTTCTCTTCATACCGATAGGAAACAAAATGTTAGACAGCAGCTCAGACTTCAGAAATTAAATTGCAAAGTACAAAACAGGAAAAGCACCATCACGTTTTCCCATTAGGATTACTTCTCACATGCTGCACTCGTAGGGTTGGTTTAATTAAAGAAATGGGATCTTATCCATCAGTTAAGAGATAGTGGGTGCCTATGTTACCTTTTTTAGGGAAGGTTCTCTGCAAAAAGTATCACTCCAGTACTTACCTGGACAACAGCAGGAATTCCCCATGATCAAGGATCCTAGGAAGCAGAATAAATTTAGGACTCACACGAAAAGTGTTCATGGTCTCAAATGATCAATCAGATGCTGGTGGCTCCATTGGGAGGCAGCATGACCAGGGAGGTGCTGGCTGCTGCCTATACAACATCCATCCCAGGTCCAGTATCATCACTTGTGCCCTGGTCACATGTGGATATTGGCAGGGCAAGGGACAAGGGATGTGGTTGCACAGGGTGTGGGAATGGGGGTCAAAAGCAGTGTTAGGGGTTTGACTCTCAGAGAGTCTACCCCTCCCCCGGATCTCTTGCTTAGGAATTGAAAACCTTTGAATGAGGGATACCAATCCCATCCTACAATCCCCTTGGGATCCCACAAGCAGCTCAGCACAGGTTTGTTTGTCTCATTTCCCACATGATAAGTCCACTCCCAAGGTGATACCATCAGCAGCAAAAAGTGAAACTGTTAAGTGGGTATTAATTGCCTTCCTGCCATAGTCTTAATTGGTGTGGAGGTGGGAGTACAGCCGTGTCACCACTCATTCGCTCCTGAGTAAATTTCCTACCTCACCAACTTCCACAAAACCTGCTTTCCATTCCATCCAAACGGTCTACAAAGAGATCAGTAGCCCCTGAAGTTAGCTTCACCCATATGGGGAAGTGTCCTGTGGTGCCTTCCATTACAGTACTGAGGTCAGAAGTCCAGGACATGAAGGATTGTGAGCACAAATTCTATAGCAGAGCAGATACTGACAAATGGGCGTGTGTGTTGATTTTGCACTGATATTCTGGTGAAGATTAGATGTTATGATACTTCCATTCTTCCTGCACAGAAAACTTGTGCTAGGCCTTGTAGTAGTCCTCCCATCTAATCCTGAATGTAGTGACAAATGCCTTCCTGGAACTTCAGCAAAGTGTGGTAAGAGAGGGCGAGTCTCATAGCTGTAAGTGTTGTCTTTCAGATTGGATGAAACTTTAAATAATCAAGGTTCAGTCTGTCTTCTCAGGTAGATGCAGAATTCCCACTGAATTAATCTAAGTTGAGCTTATTTTCAGGAAAATTCTGTGAAGCCATGAGGAACAGGGGTGTTCCTCCGATACTATGGTGGCTGTGAACTACCACTCAGTGTTTTGCTCCTTTTCCGTTTTCCTGGACCTTACGTGAGGGTCTCTGCCAGTGAGCCTAACATTGATGTCTTTGCTCAGAGGAGCTGCATGTGCTAGCACAATCAGCCCTTGCAGATCAAAGCTGTTAATGCTGAAGTGGCCTAGGGAACAGCTCCTATTGATCTTCTTGGTTCAGGTACATGCTGACTCCACAGAGGCAGATCTACCCAATATATCTCATTAGATCACAATATTAGTCTAGGAAAATGGTCAGTGTTACGATATATACAATTACATCAAAAAATCTTGGCTAATGTCAGACCTTTACAGCTATTCAATGCTATCAATTTAATCCTTGGTAGTAATTCCTGTTGTAATGAGAGGTCAGTTCACTCAAATTTAGCAACACAAAATCCTATCTAAAGAGAATGAATGCTTATTTGAATGAAGGTTCAATAAATGATTGACAATGGCTTAGTCCTACCTTCCCTTCTCCACATTTGGTGCCTGTTAGCACAAGCCCTGGATCAGGCATATCATCCCCTAGATAGACATGTGTGCCACGGCACAAGATCTTTCCACCTTCTTGCAAGGGAATGTTAGTTTCTATGGAGACTGCATTTGTCCCAATGACAGGGCGGCTCGCTCCTCCCTGACATTGGATTTTCCCACACTGGGCATCTCTGTTAAGAAAAATAGACAGACTGTGTAACTGAGCACATGGAGTGGAAAGGTGATGGCTACAAATTACACTTTAGAATCCACAGAATAATTAAACTTTGGGAGATTATGTCAATCCATCGAGTTATATTAAAAATATCATCAATTGTGCCAAAATACTCAGCTAAATCCAGGAATTAAAAGTAAGTGACAAGTAACCCTTTTACTATCTTTAAACATCTTTCAAAATTTCTATTTTTTAATTAAACCATACAGCACACTGAGAATTCTGTTTTGTACTGATGATCACATTGAAAAGCGCATTGAAAGGAGAGTACCTGCAGAGAAATCCAAATTAATCCCTAATTTGTAATAATCTCTATGTGTAAAAAGTTTTTATATTTGTTGACAGTTGTTCATGCAGCCATTAGAGGCTTCTCATTCAGTGTAACATTTCTTTCCATATTTCCTAAGCCTGTCTGTTTTGATTGACTAAGTTACAAATAGGCCTCATTCAGCTTAGTTTGTAACTTTGGAAAATGTTCAATTTGCAGTTCATTTAAGTAATGTGTAGTTTGAGCTGCCAAATTTACTAGGCAATAAATAAATGATGAGGCTCCTGTGCACTGAATAAATGATTAGGCCTCAAGTAAAGTTGTTCTTGTGTATGTGGGGAGGATATTTTTGCTGAGTTAATAGCTGCTCAGGTACATATCAATATTCTGCTGGCAGAATTTATTCAGCCTTCAGCAAAAACAGTTTTACCTATTACATTTTAAAATTTAAAAGCAAGTAATACCGTTTCTCCTAGTTAACTCCTGTATGAAATGAGCAGTGTATTTGCCTTTAAAATAAAGCTTTAATATGTTTGATGAGCTTTACATTAAATTTGGTACAAGTTACCCCCATGAGCTGTTTTGCATATTCATTTGTTAGTTTTGTTCTGGGGTAAGACTGACGCTATAAAATAGTGGTCATATACTTAAGAATTTGTCTGCAAATATGAGACAAGCTTGTTGATCATCAGACTTTTTAAAAATATTACAATGTCTCTAAGAAGAGAAACATATTGTGTTTTTCATCCATGGGTAATTTGCAGATCGAATTTAGGGGGCCAGACTTTACAGTCAGCAATGAAGCGAAGGCATTTGCTGCTGCCACCAAAAGTAGCGGCCTGCAAAGATGTGACAATATTTTGGTACAAATATCCCCTTCTCAAATGTCAGTTTGAACCTTACAGCAATTCAAGGACATCCTCAGGCATCCAGCCACAGTAATGGCTGTAAGCAGTAAATAGGCAATCAATTTGAAGTATTCCCATAATCAGCAAACCAGGAAAGTAAAAGCACTGAATCTCCTCACTTTTAATTGTAAGTTTTACAAATGGCAAAGTAAATGCTTTGGATAGCAACATGGAATTTAGGTAAAAATTAAACCAGCTTAGCCACACTAGAAAAACAAATTAGATATATATGGAATTTCCTAACATAATAGAGCAATATGACATTCAATAAATATAAAACTGCTCTTTCAGGGCTATTAATAGCAATTGTGAACTAAGCTTGCTGTTAAAACCTAATTACACTCAAAAAAGTATAACATTTTCAAGAGTTGTAATGGCAAGACAACAAGGGTAAGAGTATAAGCTCTCACTATTTAATTATTTTCATTAATTGCTATCATGGGGACTTCAATAGTACAGGTGAAATGCAGAATCACCAATAGCTACTTCTGAAAATCTGGGACCAGCTTAGCACATGCAAATTCAGAAGGTGCTGTCTGAGACTTGACAAACTTTGTTTGTTTTCAATTGAAAGTTGAAGGATGAGGGGCGACCTGAACACTGTTTACAAAATTATGAGAGACATGGATAGAATTGATAGTCAATCATTTCTCCCAAGGTCCCATCCAGCTTGTTTGGTAAGACAGAAATGTGAATATGAAATGAGGCAAGTTGGACCATGAAAATGGCTTTAACAATCAATAACCCCCGAACAATGTTCAACTTGCCACTGCCTAATGAGAATCTTTCCATGCCGCTTGTGAAAAGCATATAAGATAGAGAGTGAGATACTCCTGAAGTCAGGGTAGCCACGAACCTCGCCATCGTCCATGAACTCAGACCCATATAAGATTCTGCCTTAAGTCTGAAGAAAGCGTGTAAAAGTTACAAATGTTCTTTAAAAATTGAAGACTGCAGATAGTAACTGAAAAAGGAATTCACATTCCCAACATATATGGTGAGTTTGTAAGAAATATCAAGAAATAGTGTTTTGTCCTTCAAGTACACTCTTATATAAAAACCCATCAGATGGAATCCTGCCTGCCTGGCCCATGAGAGTTAGATGTTATATCGTATCTCAGCTTCTCAGAGAAGACAGCACAGAACCACTTTTCACCTGAATTACAGAAACTGGTTGTTCAAGCTAATTTAGAAATAAAGGTCAACTCACAGGCTGCAATAACTTAAAAATTGAAAGCAAGGTCAGTTTATTGCATTCTGTTCAAATTTTTCTGTTTTAAGTGTAACGAATGCTTCTTAATGTCACCATCTGGTTTGAAATATAGTTTCATGATTGCACATAACTTTAAAAACTGAGAATGCTGGAGTATCCTTATTGCTACTTTCATAAATTCATGCATAGCAATCCAGAATTGACTTGGGATATTTTCACAAAAAAAAAAATGCTGGAATTGGTATGAAATGAGATGTTACTGCTTCACTGACTGTTCAAAAAGTAATTTTCTTGGTCAAAAGGCTTTTTCTATTAGCTATGGAATTCAGCCACCTGGGCCCAACTGGAAACATTCTTTTCATGAAAATATCTTAAATTTAAATGAACTCTAACTAAATATATCTCTGTGAGAATGATGTTCAGCATTTATGTGCTCAGCCTGCATCAGAGGTTCACTGCATGCTATAATCATTAGGGGGTGCTGTAGTTGTCCAGGACAGCTGCCTAAGTCTGATATAATGACCCGACATACAACAAGCAAATGTTCAGCAAGAGTTTCAGGTCTCTTACTGTACAAATGGTTTGCGATTGATCACAGTTTGTGCTGCGTATGCTTTGGTTGATCTTCTTAGGTGCATAGCAACCAAATCAGCAGTGCTCAAATGGATTGCTGAAGGTTCCCACCCAAAACATACATTTGATACCTTCTTCTTAACTGAACGTGGAACCAAGAGGAGCCTGGCATTCTGGCTCGCTGAATTTACCCTTTGCCCCAGGTGGGTAATGGTGCCTCCAAGACTGCAACAGGCCCATCCCATCACCACCCAGCTCCACTCACCCTTTTCATAAGTAACATACAAGTGAAGCTTGTGAAAAACCTTGCTGCAGTTCAATCAACAGTTTCATTAGATGTATGCAGTGGGCTTATAACGTTGCTCACACCTACTTTTGCTACAATCTAACTTCCAGACCTTTGCATTTCCTCACAAATTATGATTATTGGAACTTAAATTGAAAATATCCCACAGACAGGCATCCTGTTGCATAAAATGTTAATAGAGATACTCTCTCTATATCAGTACAGAAATTAGTTTCTTTGAGTGCAATAGAATGGTAGTCACTGTAAATAACCAGAAAATGGGTAGCCTAAGCAAAGCATCAAGGATCTCAGGACTTGAAATGTCAACTCTGTTTTCTCTCCACAGATGCTGCCAGACCTGCTGAGCTTCTACAGCAGTTCTTGTTTCTGTTTGCTTCAGATCTCCAGTATCCACAATCCATTGTTTTGTTGTATCAATCTGAACTGCTGGGGGAAAATGAAACAATCATATTCGCTAGTTGGTGTTGGCTCCTAAAGAAATCTGAAGCTATCCTTTGGAAATTTGATCTAAGCTGCTTGGAAAATCAGGCAGTAATGTAGGCAAAAACGCTAAAGTTCTGGTGAAATTGGGGAATCAGAGTTGGACATCCAATCAGATTTTCCGGGAACTTGAATAAGTGGATAAACAGCTCTATTGCACTAATAGAACATTAGACATTATAGAGATAGATCTAACGTTAGCCTTTGGAAATTTGGATATCATGGATGTAAAGTAAATTCAGATTGGATATACATATTCAATTAATTTTTAAGGAATAATGATTTTGCCATTGCAGAAAATCAAGTCTGGTGGAAAATTAAACGCCGGTTACAAATAATATAACCAACATTGCTTGAAAATTGATCCTTTTGGCTCTAAAAAGAGCATCATTTACTACGGGCCTTTAAGTTAATCAGTTACACAAGGGTGTATAAGAGTCAAACAGATCACAGATACACTGCTCCTAGGTCACAGATGAAATAAGGTGGAAGAGTTATATCACAACTAAGTAAAAAATAAAACAGGCCTCTACCTTCTAGGTTACTTAAATTTATACTCATCTAAAATTCTCATAACACATAAGAGGTACTAATTCTTCAAAGATGAAATCCTCCATTCATGGGGCAGGCAATATAAACTCACACAATATAACAAAAACAAGTGATGTGTGCTAAGTAGGGAGCAGATCTAAAGAAAATGATTAAAAACATAGGGCTAATTGGAAGTTCATACAAGTTTCTGTATTTTTGTATGTCTTTATTTACATCAATTTACAGAGTGGAAACTGTTTGTGTCTTGAGAAGATAAAAGATGTATGTTTGTACCTGATGTCACATTTTGCAAACAGACCAGTCGAGTCCTTCCCACAATTACCATATGGGTCACCTGCTGAGTTAACTCTTTCAAAGCAGATTCCAGGGGCAGGTTTGGCACCTAAAGGAGTTGGAACAATTTTGGTTACTTTTATGAATACTTGTCCAGGCGAATAAAGTGCTAAGAAGTGGAACTACCTCTCATCTTATACCAAAGACAGAACTAAACTGGTGAATTATGAAAGAATACTCTTCACTTATTAGAAAAGTATTCAGTGTACGGATTTCATAAAACATAAAATTTGATATATTACCATTGAGTACAGAGGTTAAGCTTTTCAAATCTATTCAGAACAACCTCTGATCAAAATGAACCAAAGAAATATGTCATGAACTATCCATTCCTCACTCGTTCAAGTCCACACCAAGGTAATATATGCTTCAAACTTCTCTCCAGCTGGAGCTAATACCATTTCATTAATATCAGTGTCCTTGTGTAGAAAGATTGACCATTAGCCATGAAGATAGCACAACCCTTTTTCTAATGATTCTCTATAATAATAATACCGTCATTCATTGGAAAATTCAGAATTACGTGCTTCTCAACTTTTGTGGTAGCTGCTTCAGGTAGGCATTTGATCCTAGATGAGAAATTGAAGATGATATAACAATACCCTGAGAGAAGCTTCATGGGATGTGCTAAATTATAATTCATGATGTATCATAGAGCAGAACACAGATTTTTGTCTCTTTGATACCACACAGTAGGGATGTTCTAGTTTGTATTCGGTTTGCAGAGATAGTGTGCTTTCACAAATGTAGTAAGCAAAGCAAGCTTAACAGGGAGGTTAATCTGGGGTCCCTCACACATGTCCAAACATTTAGTTTAAGAGCTTCATGTCTAGAACGTTGGCAGTACATTATATTGTTCTCTCTCCATGAAGTTAATGATAGTAAATATTTATAATAATTTAATTATAAAAGGTAAGAGTTGAAGTAGAACCATTATCAGTAGAATGATTTGACTCCTCTCATATAAATTAACCAATTTATTGGAACTCTTTAAGAGAATAACGTGTGTTGTGCATAAAGGCAAGCCTGTATTGAATTTCCAAAAGGCTTTTGACAAGGTTGTACGTAAAAGATTATTGCGTAAAAGATGAGTTCACGGTATAGGGGACAACATATTAGCACAGTAAATGGCTGGATGCCAGGCAGAAGACAGCGAGTATGCATAAAAGGGTCGTTTTCAGATTGATAGGATGTGAATGAGTGAGGTCCCTCAATGTCTGTGCTGAGCCCATAATGTATTACAATTTATTTCAATGACTTGAAGAACTCGTGGCTAAATTTGCAGATGGCACAAAGATAGGTAGGCAAGTGTGCTTTAAAAAGACACAACTAGGATACAGACCAACATAAATAGGTTAGTGAGTGGGCAAAAGCTTGGCAGATGGAGTATTGTCAGAAAATGTAAAGTTGTTCACTTTGGCATTAAGAATGAAAAGCAGTGTATTCCTTAACTGAAACAAGTACATAGAGGCTGGTATCCCATCACCAAGTCACCTTTAATTTACATGGGCTGTAACCAGCCAGTTGAAAGCCAGTGCCTAGGCTGAAGAGACTTTCTGAATCTCCTGTTTATATCGGTCAGCCAGGGGTCCCTGATTGGCCCAAGTTAACAACCCCAATCAAGAATCTCATAGCCAATAAGATCCATCTGGCCAGGATTCCAATCACTGCATCAAGCTTTACTTGAACTGCAGAATTTCAGGTGCAGAGGGATTGAGGTGCATTAGCCACAGTGTGTAGTATGCAGGTATAGCAATTAATTAAGAAGCCTAATGGGATGCTATCCTTTATTAAAGGAGAAAATGAACATAATAGTAAGGATGTTATGCTTCAGTCATGCAGGGCATTGGTGAGATCACATCTCAAATACTGAGTGCAGTTTTGATCTCCTTATTTAACAAATGATATAAATTTGTCGGAGGTAGTTCAGAGGAAGTTTACTAGATTGATACATAGAATGAGCAAATTATTTTACAGGGAAAGATTGGTTAGGCTGTAACTGTTTTCACTGTATTTTTGAAGAGTGAGGGATGATTTATTTGAATTTGATAAGATCCTGAATGGTCTTGACAAGATGAATGTGGAAAGGATGTCTCTCCTTGTTGGTGAGTCCAGAGCCAAGAAACACTACTTTACAATTAGGGGTGATCCTTGTAGAACAGTGATGAAAGGAATGCTTTTCTTAGAAAAGTTGGAACTCTACCTCAGAAGGTGATGGAGATTGTTTCATTAAATATTTTTAAGATAGAGGTAGATAGATTCTTGTTAGGCAAGGGATGTTCTAGTTCTAGTTTGTATTTGGTTTGCAGAGATAGTGTGCTTTCACAAATGCAGTAAGCAAAGCAAGCTTAACAGGGATAGATATGAATTCAGAAAACAATCAGATCAATCATGATCTTATGGAATAACAGAGCATGCTTGAAGGGTTGAATTGTCTACTCTGCTCCTAAGTATTATACACAATATGACATTGTAAAGGGATCAGATCCTTAATAGCAATTTTAAGATCTTGACTTGAATACACTCAAAAATATTTTCTATGCTGTATGATAGTTAGATTTAAAATCATGATTTACCTGGTCCCCAAAGAGTAATACACTGTTGCTCATGGGTCTGACACATCCCATTGTAACAGTAACCATCCTTCTTATGACAGGGCTGCCCATCATGCAGATACACATTAGCTGGACACTGTGCATTTGTTCCAGTGCAAAATTCAGGTAGATCACAAGAATTGCTGGAATCTCTGCAAGGGGTTCCTGGTGGCTTCAGCTGTAAATATATATTATCACAAAAAAATCAATGAGCTGAAAGTTACATCGTGTATTTTAAAATTTTGAAAATAGAATGAAAGTCATTCACTGATATAACTAAATTTACAGTACATGTTAATCTCAACATTTTACATAGATTCAATAAATATTTTAAGCAAATTTAAAGTGGCTATATTTAAATAGAGGCAATAATATTGGATGACACCATGGGAGTAAATTCTACAGAGATTCATGCAAGTCTCTTGTGCCCCTAAGACCATTTTTCTGGGGTTTCTGTGCATCTACAATGAAAACTATGGCAGATGGACAGATGAACCCATATGATAATTCATTCTCATGTGTCGCATATTCATCATTATTGCTTCCTACACAGCATCCTACATATGCCAGTATTAACTTGCTGGACTTATAATCCAGGACACTGACTATTAATAGTAAACACAAACTCCAATTCCACTGTGGCAGTTTGAGAATTAGAATTTAATCATCTATTTTGTATTTGTTCATGGGTTGTGGATGAAGGAAGCAGTTATTGCTTATCTCTAACTGTCCTTGAGAAGATGTTGGTGAGCAGCATTTTTGAACTGCTGCAGTCCATGTGGTATGAATACATCCACCGCACTGACAGAAAAGAAGTTCCAGAATTTTGACCCACAACTGCAATCTCATTGTAATCATACATAGGTAAAGAATGCATACTCATGACATCCACATTGGGGAATGAAATAAAAAGATGGATAGGTTTCTATCATTACAAGGCAACAGAATAACGGAAAGAAAGTTTAAATGGCTTTGCAGAAATTATTTTGGAGGAAGACTTTGCAGCAATATCCATCATAGTTATGATGTCCTTTTAAAAAAGGTGAGGCAACAACATGCAAATAATTGGGGATCTGACTGACTCTTTGAGCTTCTTGAATTTTTAGGGCCCTTTAGCAACAGTCATCTCCCACCCTGACATCTCTCCAGTGGTAAGCTTCCAAGCACATTTAGCAACACTGGAAAGAACCCACTGAAATTATTCAAATAAATCTGGAAAATTTATGACAGCATTGAATCAGGCCACATGTGGAATCACATTTCTAACAGCACAGAAGGTCTTATCGCATTGTGGTAGTGTTCCTGCCTCTGCAGTCCTACCTCAGGACTTGAGGTAAGTTATGTCATAACGTGGCCAAACAGTTGAATAGCAATTTATAAATCATTCAGATGAAAGTATGGCAGATGGTAAGAGTGAAAGAATTTCCTGGCCAGCCAGAACCATGTGGTAGCTGCAGGGCCACAGCCTCACGGGTTAAAAAACTACATGACCAGTCTCTTGCCATGATCAAAAAGCATACTAATTCTGAGGGGCTACTACACACACTTCTAGCAGCATTTCTACCAAAACTTTGATGGAATGATTTTTCTGGCAGTTTGCATAATGGAAGTAATTGCCATTAAAATTAAGTGAAACTGCTGGCTGTGTTTTTTCAAGTATTGTTACTAATACAAATGCCATGCCATCCCTAGCCAAATTATAGCACTCATTTCCAATATAAACAGATTGAATGAAGATATATGAAAGTGTCACATAGTGTATGATTAAATTCTTTTCTTCTATTAGACTTCTAAGGGTTTAATTTTCCACCTTTGCAGCACCACCAGTGGCCCTCATATGCTGGCAATACATTTCAGAAATTTGGAAATATGCTATACTCTGTTTACCTCTCCATCAACTTAAGTGGTAGCAAATTTGTGCCTTTTTCACATTCAAATGTCTATACACAGTAATAATGGTTGAATTTCTGCATGGTAGCAGCATGAAAGTGGAAAGTTATCTCATATTGATCTCATAACCTGTTATAGATTTAGAACACTCTTATACCAGTCTGCTACTCTATATTTTATTGTATTAAATGGATAAAGATTATAAATTAACTAAAAACCTTTCCTTTCATAGCTGATCTTTGACTTGTCCTATAGATGTCCCCAGTGAATCAGTTATTAATTGGGCTGCAGTTTTCCTGGGCTCCACTTCAACTCAGGCTTCCATCAGATTTACCTTTAGTACCAATGAAGCTGAAACTTGACATAGCTTGTCACTTTTGTTTAAAATATTGATCTCATCTCGAACTTGGCCACAGAGGAGCAAAGCAAACTACTGCATTTCAAGCAGCCATTGGAACAATGAAAACATTTGCAGTGATATTGAAGGTCATGCTTAATGGCAAAGTAGAATAAGAGCACAATTTCATCAATTTACACTTTGGAGAAGATGAAAATGTTACTTTCTAAGGATGTGGAATAAAACTTAAAAAAGGGAGAGATGCAAGCAAAAAAGCATAAATAGCAATACCAGAAATCTGAAAAAAACAGAAAAATAAACAAAATTTACTCAGTAAGTTGGGCAGAATTTGAAGAGTAATTGAGGCTCAGCAGTCAATCACTGAGTCTTAAAGTCTTCAATAGACTGGAAGATATTAAAAATGAGTACTATTTGAAAAAAGAACAGAACCCCTCAAGTCCTTTTAAAATCTTTCTCCTCTCACCTTGCTCTCTAGTTTTGGACTCTGCCACCTCCAGGAAAAAGACCACAGCTATTCACCCTATCCCCTTCATGATTTTATAAACCTCTATAAGGTCACCACTCAGTCTCCGATGTTCCAGGGACAAAAACCCCACCCTAATCATCCTCTCGCAATAACTCAACCACTCCAGTCCTAGCAACATTCCTGTAAATCTTTTCTGCACCCTCTCAAGTTTAACAACATTCTTCCTGTAGAAGGATGACCAGAATTGTATGCAGTATTCTCAAAGGTCCCCCTCCAATGCCTTGTACAGCCACAACATGACGTCCCAACTCCTATACTCAATGTTCTGATGAATGAAAGCAAGTGTGCCAAATGTCTTCACCACCTGTCTATCTGCGATTATACTTTCAAGCAACTATGCACCTGCAGCCCTAGGACTCTTTGTTCGGCAACACTCCCCAAGGCCCTACCATTAGTTGGATATGTCCTGGCCTGGTTTGCTTTACCAAAATGCAACACCTCACATTTATTTAAATTAACCTCCATCTGCCAGTTCTCGGCCCTTGGCCCATCTGATCAAGGTCCTGTCGTACTCTGAGATAATCTTCTTCACTGTCCACTATACCCCCTACTTTGGTGTCATCTGCAAATTTACTAACCAGACCTCCTATGTTCAAATCCAAATCATTTATATAAATGATGAAATGCAGTGCAGCCAGCACTGATCCTTGTGGCTGGTCACGGGCCTCCAGTCCGAAAAGCAACCATCTACCATCACCTCTGTCTCCTACCTTCAAGCCAATTTTGAATTCAATTGGCTATGACCCCTGGATCCCATGCAATCTAATTTTACTAACCAGTCTACCACACAGGACCTTGTCAAGCTTTCCTTTCCTGAGCCCTGATGGCTGATTTCTGTTTCTTCACAGATGTTGCTGGATCTGTTGAGTATTTCCATGATAGAAATGAGATCTGTTTATAATGGATGGCATGCAAATTTTTCATGTGTTTAACATATACGAGCTAATTTACTTATATTCATATCTCATTCCCAGGCCACAGAGGTTGAGGTTGAGTTGTTCCCAGTCATTTAACAATGTTGCTACATGACTGAACACTAGCAGTTGCGTGACTAACATAAATTAGTGTTTCCTCCACCCTAAGGAAGGGTTGGTGTATCTACAGTACATTGTGACTTTCCTAAAGGTTGAAGAAGGACAAGGAATATGATCTACTGAATTTAGAAGATATATGTGACGCCTTGGTGTTGTATTTGTGGAGAGGAAGCAAATTAGGGAAGAGCATATCTAGGTGTGTACAGTTATTAGAGGCAACCTTCACCTGCTTTGTGTTCAAAATTGCTATCTATAACCAAAATCGCCTCACCTTGTTGCCTGGTCTGGCATTCCAACCAAAATCATAAATCCACTCTGTGAGAATTCACAAATGTGGATCCAAATGCCTTGTCAGGCAGAATGTTTTATCAATGCAGTGCAACACTCTTCTTTTGATTGAGTTTCTCTTTATTCTACAGTGTGTTCTACATCCGTTCATTATCTAATAATTTCAGTTCATCCTGAATCTCTATCTCATATCATGTTACTTGCAGTGAGCGGAATGTAATGACTCCTGTAGAGTGGATCTAGAGGCAGTGGGTAGGGGGAGGGGTCAAAGTAATTGGGCAGGAAGGAGTGGGGTGGCGATCCCAATGCCTTCCTTTTTCATTTCCTTTTGATTTAATTCAGGGCAGAAAGGCTATCCTGCCTGGAAGCCAATCAAGGCTCTTAGGCAACCATAGAATCATAGAAACTGAAATAACTGCGGATGCTGTAAATCAGGAACAAAAACAAAGTTGCTGGAAAAGCTCAGCAGGTCTGGCAGCATCTGTGAAGTAAAAAACAGAGTTAACGTTTCGGGTCCAGTGACCCTTCCTCAGGATCATAGAATCCCTACAGTGTGGAAACAGGCCCTTCGGCCCAACAAGGCCACACCGACCCTCAGAGCATCCCACCCAGACCCATTCCCCTAGCCTTTCCCTGTCACCCACCCAATCCCTGGACACTTTGGGCAATTTAGCATGGCCAATCCACCTAGCTTCCACATCTTTGGACTGTGGGAGGAAACCAGAGCACCTGGCAGAAATCCACACAGACACGGGTAGAATGTGCAAACTCCACACAGACAGTCGCCCGAAGTTGGAATTGAACCTGGGTCCCTGGCACTGTGAGGCAGCAGTGCTAACCGCTGAGTTACCATGCCACCCCTTCAGGTCTCCTCTTCCCACTGTCACTGAGGCCAGAAAGGGAGACCCCACCAAACCCGTCCCACTTAGCTCTGAGGCTCCATCTCTGATCTTCCTTCATGGCCACACTTCTGCACTGGCTCTGGTCACCTCCAGCGATGGCATTCACTGGTGATGGAGATCTGATTGGTCAGCAGCTCTGAAGGATGTCCATCCTGCACCAGAATTCCGAGAGAGAAATTTCCTTCACATGAGCTGAGAGGCTCAAAAGAAGGAATAAATCCCATCAGTCATCCTGAAAATGTCCAGGACAATGTTGCTACCATTAGGTATCCCTGCCACGTCTATTAAATTCTGCTCAGCTTTAGAGATATGTGTTTACGAAGATTCATGATTTAGAAACTGAAGATATAAAAATGTTTTTTTTTTGAGAGAAAGAAGTAAGCCAAGTTCTCAAAAGATTCCATTACCTTACAGTCTTCGCAGCAAAGTCCATGTGCACAAACTGCTTCAGGCTTCAGACTGCAGGTACTTGCATTACAGCAGGGATTGGTACATTCCTCAAAGAAAGCAGATCTATTTATGTCTATACATTTCTATTCAATAATCAAATCAATAGACAATACGAAAACGTTTTGACTTGTAATTATTATTAGGTAACAGTGCACAAACGCCTGTCTGCATACAATGAAAGATACAAATCTCGATAATTTTGAATCATTTACTAAAAAAAAGTCATCTATTGATAGGATTGTCTGAACTATTCTGCATGCTACATTCAGATTTTCATTTATCCCATAGGAGTGGTGACTGGAAAATGCAATAACATAAATGAGCTCATTTGATTGGCTGATAACATTTTGAAAAACACAACAAACTCACTACATGTGTTGAACTCAGATATCTCACCAAACCTTGATCACCAATTCAAACCACGTGCTAGAACATTTTCCTAATGTGATAGTTGACAATTTCACCCAGAACTTCTCAAAGATATCGCTTTTTTTTTGCCGCTACCAATATTGGGATATGGTCAGATAGCATGCTCTATTTATTTCTGTAAAGAAAGGCCATGTAGTCCATCATTATCTGTTTGGCCAGATAAAAGTGAATTACCCTAATATTTGTAGCGTCTATTGCTCATTCCATTACTGCAGGATTTTTGCTTTATCTGTAAAAGGTAAGGTTACCATAGTCCTACTGGACCACAGGGTGGCTCTCTCAGCACAGAGAGACAACCAGTGCTGGTTTGACCTAAGGGTTACCATGTCTCAGGTGAGGGGACAGTTTGAGGAGAGTCCTTCACAGTAACCTCAGCCGGTGAGAATTGAACCCGCACTCTTTGGTTGGACACTTGGATTGTGAAGCAGAGTGATACCAGCAGCAGGGATTGGTATCTCTATAGTCCTCTGGGACTATGGCAACTTTACCTTGCTTTATTGTAAATTTATACAGACAATATACAGTATTATTCTGGGACAGCATGCATTATGTTTTAAAATGTGGGTTGTGTAGTTTGGAAGTTGATGTTTTTACTACTGCATGTATGAACGTTTTGATTGCACACATGGGATTTAGAATCAGCTATGTCTTTTGTCCAAAGAGTGATTTACTATAGTAATATTTAATACAATGTACAGTTACATTAAGTATGTTGGCCATAAGCATTTCTATTCTGCACTTATTTTGTGAAAAACCTCTGCACAGAATTAAGCTTGATACTCATCCCCAAAGAGTGAATTGCAAATTGTACAAGACTAAGAAACAAATTTAGTGCCTCTTTCATTGCCTTACTTCGAGTTCACCACAGTCACACTCCTCGCCCTCCTCCACGTATCCATTGCCACACTTCTGCCCACCATAGAGCTCTTTTACTTCTGGCATGTTGAAGAGACACATTCCAACTCCCTTTTCCAGGCTACTGTCCAGGTCTTTCTTGCTACAGCTGCTAAAGACTGTGGGAAAAGGATAGCTGAAAAGAAAACAGGGGTAAGCCTAAGTGTGCAACTCAATGCAATGGTATTTGTTACATCCTCTTTCTTCTTTATCAGTTTACATAAATAGCAACAGGATACACATTGTAAAGAAAGGAAAGACTAATTAATTAACATATTTGGTTTGAAAACTAAGATTCCGGGCTTAACCTTGCAAACAACATGCAGCATTTGTTATAACATGTACAATTTGGACTGGGATCATCGGCAGAAGATTAAAACATTTCACATAATGCTGATGTTTACAACTAAAACACACCGAATCAATTCCCAATGGTTGCTGCAATACTTAAAAAACACAACTTTGTATAAAGCTCATCTTAATGCCTAAATCTAATATGCTGAATTTTCCCAAAAATCAACTAACTTGATTTTGAGAAGTTTCACTGCAGTTCTCACCCTGAGCTCCAGTGCATTATCTCATGCAACTCTCCATAGCTCACCTCAATAAGCACGCCTCTACGGTGCTACTCTTGCACTATCATATACCAAACAGCGGCAGAAGTACTTGCTGCTAACAGCACCTTCTGGGATTCGTGCCAACACCATCAACTTCAAAGCTCAGCTGTGCACAAAGCCAAATGCTGCTAGACAGGGATAACAAGGTGTAGAGCTGGATGAACACAGCAGGCCAAGCAGCATCAGAGGAGTAGGAAGGCTGACGTTTCGGGCCTAGACCCATTTCTGAAGAAGGGTCT